CTGAGGGATTCACCAACAAACCAGCGGAGAACACAGACACTGTCCCATCCTTTGGTGTACTCGTACGCTACAAGGATAGCAACACATACACTCGATTCGCTGTGACGATGCCTCCGACTGCAAATATGGGTGCGGGTTTTGACCAAACAGGAAGGGAGATCGCCTGGTTCTGGGCTCAAGAGCAAGCGGAGTGTGCTGATGAGTGCGAACTCGATCGTCGCTGTGTCGCATGGACGGCGGTGAAAGATGTAACACTAGACCCGCCTGAGTGGAACTGTACACTTAAGAGCACCTATGGTGACGTTGTTGCTGCCAATGAATCTGTCGTGACAGGTCGTGTGTGGGAGCCAATTCTGCTTCTGGACCGAAGCAAATCCGGCACGACTGGATTCCACGAAACCTGGACCGGCCGAGCTCCTCTCGTTGGAAATGGCACAAGGGTACAGCTGCGAGTATTTGTGGATGACACCATCGTTCAGGTCTTCAAGGACGATGGCCTGGAGTCGCTGACGGGTCGTGTTTACGTTCCCAATGACTATTCTGGAGTTGCCCTCTTCTCCTCTAATATAAACTCACCACTCTCGGCCAAAGTCTCTTTCTACGAGATGGATACTGTACATGAATCGAATGCGGCACCAACTGATGCACCAACCGAGGGACCCACTGAGGCACCAAGTGAAGCACCGACCGAGGCGCCAACTGAAGCACCAACCGAGGCACCAACTGATGCACCAACCGAGGCACCCACTGATGCACCAACTGAAGCACCAACTGAGGCACCGACTGATGCACCGACCGAGGCACCAACCGAGGCACCGACTGAAGCACCAACCGAGGCACCCACTGAGGCACCCACTGATGCACCAACTGAGGCACCAACTGATGCACCGACTGAAGCACCAACCGAGGCACCGACTGAGGCACCAACCGAGGCACCAACTGAAGCACCAACTACGGGTCCGCCCAAAGCACCGGATGCAGCGTGGCATACAGCGGGATCACACCTTCTTAAAGTAATGTTTTTGGCAGTTACTCTTCACACCGTGTTGCCGCTGCTTCTTTTTTGAAGTGTGAATGTGTAAAA